GGCTCCAACCCGCAGTGTCCCTTGTGCACAGTTGAATGAAACACTGCCTGGTCCTGCCTCATCCTCACAATTGTTCTTAGGTTTGAACCCATTGTTACAACCACTGTCTCAATTCATTTTCTGCTCAGCCTTCCTCTTATTCATCGCCCCTCCACTTGACCAAGCATGATGTCCTTCTCCAGGGACTGGTCTCTCCTGATGACGTGTCCAAAGTGCACAAGACAGAGTCTCGCCAGCCTTGCCTCTGAGGAGCACCTGGCTGTCCTTCTTCCAAGACAGGTTGGCTGGTTCTTTGGCAGTCCATGGTACTGTCAATATTCTTCATCAGCACCACCATTCAAATGCATTGATTCTTCTTCGTTCTTCCTTATCCCATGTCTACCTTCCACACGCAAAGGAGACGATAGAAAATATCCTGGCTTGGGGCAGGCGCACCTTTCAACTCTTTAAAGGGGTCTTGTGCTGCAGATCTGCCGGGTGCAATGCATCGTTTGATCTCGTGACTGCTGCTTCCATGAGCATCGGTTGTGGATTCCACAAGACAAAATCCTGGACAGCTTCAATCTTTCTCTGCTTATCGTGATGCTACCTACCGGTCCCGTGGTGAGGATTCTTGTCTTCTTTACATTGACTTGTCGTCCATGCTGAAGCTGTAATCATTGATCTTCATCAGTGAGTGTTTCAGGTCCTCTCCACTTTCAGCTCGCAAGGTATTAGGGCTCAGATATAAGGGGAACCAGGGGGTTAGGTACTGGGACCCCAATGAGCTCCAAGCCCTGCAGGGTCGGCCACAGCAGGGGAAACTGGAGAGTATGTGAATGCACCAAAATCCAGCAAGAAGGCGGGAGCTGGGGTCTGGTGGCACTGGCTAGAGGGCAATGCCATCGTGCAGGGCCATCCATACCCAGCCAGCCCCAGCATAGCTTTGGAGAAGCCCCTGAAGCCGACAGCAGCCATGTCCTCAGGTGGTGGAAGCCCTCTTCCCCGCACCCATCCACTGCCCAACGCTGGAGGACACCATGCTCCCCGCGGTCCACATCCTCTCTCTCCACAGCCCCTTCCTCACAGCGACCAGCGGCCTCATGGAGCTGGGGTCGGATCAAACTCAGCAAGCCGAGGGGACTGGCCGCACTTCCACAGAGTCCTGATAACTTAGCTGGTGGCCAGGCAGAGGTGCCCCTGACCGTGTGGCCATTGTAGCTGGACAGCACTGGGCCTTCTGAACTCGGGCCTTCCTGGGGCCTCACTGGGGTTGGCGCACTGCCTGCCAGTGGCCCTGCCTGGATTCTGGGCCCCGTTTCTGGAAGGACAGGGGCTTCAGACTCAGCCCCCTGGAGCTGGCGCTTCTGGCGGCGCCGTCACTGACAGCTTTGCGGGCTGTCTTCCAAGCTCCCGGTGACAATGGGGGATCACCAGGGGTTATCAGAGGAGGGTGTGCTCAGAGAAGGCAAGCCTGGCCCTGGGCAGGAACTGTCCCTCAGGCAGGCACTGCCTCCCCCCGCCCCCAAGGCAGTGGCCCTGCCCTGCCTTGGCCTTCAGATGGCTTTGGTCTGCCAACATGTGTCAGGGCGTTGGTAAACATTGTATCAAGTTGAGGGGTCAGTGACATGCAAACATAGCCCAGCCTGATCCGCTGGACCCAGTGGGAACATGGCCAAGAACCAAGAACCCACAGAGGCTGGCTGGGCAGTTGTCCCCTGTGACCCTCGACTGGGCAGCTGGTTCCCATGAGACCCAGGCGATATGTGGCTTGGGGTCCCTGCCCCCTCCCCCAGCCTCCCACCTCTGTGGTCCCAGATCTGGGAGAGCCCAGCACGCTCTATGCCCTCCATGTCTCTGAGCTGGGTGACCTGAGTCCCCTGAGACTCCTGGCTGTAAAGACCGAGACTCCAGTGCG